GGGGGGTCATACTGTGGTGCATTTCGAAAGGGTTTCACTTGTCTAATGCCATTGCATTTTAAACGTATCTCCAATGATGATATGTCTCTTTGCGTTTATTATTATAAAAAAAAAATCTAATTGCATCATTTGGCTATGTGTCTCACCTCACCCAATTGAGTCGAATCTAATCTCATTGTATTTCACTCCTATGCATTGTATTAATCTAATCTCAATGCATTCCACGTCATCTCCATGCATCTGTTCTCATTTTAACGAATCCCATCTTATCTCAAAGTATTTCATCTCATCCCTAAACTCGAGTCAAATATCTAAAACATAAAAACTGATTTTGGAGAACCAACAATAATCGCTGGACGAGTTTTTCAACAGTGTCAAATGTGCTGTTGAAGCTAGAGAGGTGAGCAGAGTAAGCCTGGTTCCCTGTAAGGACTTCTCTGTTGACATCCACCCCTTGGCGCTCATATGACCTTATGCAGTTGCGAGCGCCGTAAAACGTCTACTAAAAATTAAAAGCTAAAAACTAAAAGTGCCAAAGAAAGTTAGTTTACGCAGCTTTGTGGTTAGTTTTCTCTCTTCACTAACATGGTCATACTCTTGACCATTTTTTTGTTGTGTGTGTGTGTGTGTATGTGTGTGCGTGTGTATGTGTGTGTGTGTGTTTGTGTGTGTGTATGTGTATGTGTGAGTACACAACATGGACTTAATTACACCGCTACAATTGTGAACGACTTGACAATTATAATTTCTAGTTATGAGACGAATAAAGATTGTCATTATCATTGTCATTATTGTTGGAGTGTGTGTGCCTTCCACGCTGATCAACTTTGCCTACACTGGCCTTTTGTGTTTGGAAAACTATGAGGAAAGCGAAGCGCATCAAAACAATTTCGTCCATTCAGTATTGATAATGCTGTATAACACGCACGAAGCCAACTCGGATCTCGTGGCCTAAGACATTAACATTATATAAGTAACACAAAAAAAGATTAAGATGATTTGGTCACTTTTAAAGACAAACGGGCTAACCCAGATGTCGGGGTTTTCCAGAAATCTTGACCTACACCAAAAGTGGGCATTGCCCTATCTATAGGAGAAGTTTGGTTTCATTGGTGTGTATATTTGTTTGGTTATAGAGAAAAA